CATTTCAAGAAGCACAACCTTTCCTTTTTATTTCTTCCTCTGCCAGAAGTTGCGTAGTTGACGCTAACTTTTCCAACTATTCCCTATTTCATATATACCTCCGCGCCTTTTTTTCTTCATTTGCAGAAGCCTGTGCAAGAGCACTTCACGGCTTGAATGGTTCATACCATCAAAATTTTGATGCCCGCTGTTCTTTACTACTCGTTTTTTCTCTCTTTTGGCTCTGTTAAAGAAGCCTGGTACTATCGCTGTATTGGCCTTGACCCTTGAGATCAATATTCATAGAAACTTATAATCCCATCTTTTTCCTTATTATGTTCAATAACTGCAGCTCTGTAGCTTGACTTAAATCACCTAGCTGCTTCTTGAAAATCTAAAAATTTCTTAACTATATAACAAGCAAGGAGAGATGGAGAAGAAATCGTTGCAGAAGCCAATAAAGAATACTAGGTTCTTGATCACGATCAATGTCTTGGGAAGTGCTGGACCGTTAAGATTTGTAGTGAGTGAGAATGATAAGGTTGCTGGAGTTGTTGAAACTGCTCTGAACCAATATGCTCGTGAGGGCCGACTTCCAATTCTGGGCTCTGAAGTCAATGATTTCTTCTTTTACTCAGCCAGTGCTGGACTTGATGGTACACAATATATATCTTAATCTTTGGGTTTTCTTTTCCTTTTTTAATCTTATCAATTGTGTTCACACTGCGGAGTAGGGTGACAAACTAGCGGGTCGAAAACGGGTAGTGAAAAAATAGATAAATTATCCGATCGGGTTAACCAGCGGATAATATGGATATCCATATTATCTATGCCTTCTTGAATATGATCACTTTTGAGGGAATTCCTAGTCTCCCAAACTTGAGTAGCCCACAATTTAAGTCTTTACAAATATAAAAGTTAAACACATTAGTTATCCATTGGTCATTTATTTTCTAAATAGATAATATGGTTCTTATCCATATTTCATCCGTTTTTTAAATTCATTATGGATAACTATTTTTTTTTATTCATTTTGCCGCCACTATTGTGGAGTCGTAAACGGAACCGCAGGACTACATAATTGGTGACTTCGGTAATGTATTCATTGTACTTATGGAATTTATTCTCCTAGTTAGTATGTTGTTTTTGATGGGTGAGTGATGGAATTGTTTTCGGAATTACAAAGTCAAACAAAATTTAAGTTCAGCAAAACTTGAACGTCCACAAGAAAATACTGTGAGTTAATTCTTAGAACAGAAAAGAAGAGGATTTAGAGAATCTGAGGCAAAAGACATGCAATACATTTAGGTAACTCATGTCTTGTAAAATAAGAATATGTTGTGAGTTTTTATAGAACAGAAAGAAAAAACAGTGGGTGCAAAAGACATGTATTACCTATAGATGTCTGTTAAGACATAGCTATCTTAACAGAAACAACGTAACCCTTTAATTTCTAGCTAACTGCATTTAAAAGTTTGCTTTCAGATTCAAACTTTAAAGTAACAAATATTTAAACGTTTAAATAAATTAAATGAGGGACCACTTGCATTTATTTCCTCATACATTGTTCTTCTCTTCCACACAAGACACAACTCCAACCTCTAGTCTACCGGTTGATGATGGTGTAGAAATGAGATCTTATTGTGCGTATTAGATTTTCGTTTTTGCGTTTACTTACTATATGTTAAGTACTCAATAGTACTTCTAACATTTGTGGGCATTGATCATGGTTGATGATTTGCTTTAGTTACTGTTGTGTTTTTTAGCATAATAAGTTAGCTTTGTTATAGGATATATCTACTTTTTAAAATTTAAAATTGTTAGATTTTTTAGGTTTGTTGAGATATTTTAAGATTTTTAAATTCTTCTTATGTAAAATTTTCTGCAGATTATGTTCTCAAGTTGGTTATTTAAAGCCCTACATGTTTAATAAAAAATTAAGAGACATTTTCAATTAATATTTTTAATATTTTTGGTGTCCCATCTTTTAAAAAACCAACAATCACGTTCTCTGTGAACTGATATTTCAGGTTTGGGACCATTGGACTCGATAGGATCAGCAGGAGTGAGGAATTTCATCCTCTGTAAGAAGCAAAAGAAGCTACTGATGACAGAAGGAAGGGCAAATGCGATTGCCCAGAATGGAAAAAGAGGTTGGAAGGCTTGGCTGACTAAGTCCTTTAACTTCAAGATTCATTCCCATTGAATCACTTTCTCGTGCCTTAGTTAATTGTGGTTTCGTCAAACCTATAATAATATTATAGTGTGTGCTTTCGTCAAACCCAATGTAATGTATATTAATATATTATATGCATCAATTCCTTAGGTAACTCAAATATATATATATATGAGAATGAACATCCATGGTTGCCATTGTAATGAATATTTTCTTTTTTCTTGGGCCTATCTGTAGACAGAGTTGAATATAATCCAAATTTAGGGATATTGAGTTTGGTTGTGATCGATTACATGCGTACTTTAAAATTCTTTTTGCATGTGATTGTTGGAAAGTAAGGTGAAAAATATTGACGATAATATTTTATTGCCAACAATATATACATAGTTAGAACTGAAAGAAGCCCGAAGAACAGGATATGCTAAAAATATCTTTTAATCAAAGCATATTCAAATGAAATCTGGGATGGTGGGAACTCATAGAGGTTACTAGGTTCCAACGATTTTGCTTGAGGAATAAAGTTTAAAATTTATCTTAAAGCAGGGGCTTCAAAAGAAAGCGTAAATTTGGAGCTGATGTGATTATTCGAAAGGGAACATAATTAGATCTTAGCATCATTTAGTTAGTGGTCTTTTTAGCATCATAACAGAATCTTCAAGCTTCAATCTCTATCTGCATATATTACTTCTTTATCTGAGTGTATCAAAACCATCCCTACGTGAAATAGTTTCTGGTTGTTTAAATCTATATAAAGTTAGAGGTTCTGGATATATACTTATAGAATATTCTTTTTTAATCTGGCTTTCTTAATTTTCTTCTTTCTTAGGCTAGATTACTGGCACTGCTCCAATCTTTGCACCTTTTCATTTGATAAAAGTGTTAGGGATATATTAGATATGCCCTGAATTCAATCTCATATTTGATGATTTGAACATATTTTTGTGAATGTTATTTTATATAAAAATATATGG